CGATGGCCCAGTCGACTCCTGTTCCCTGAGAGCAGCTCAGTCCGTGGTCCTCAGCTGTGCTCTGCCACCGGAGATTCCAGGCTCCCTACGCTGGTCACCGGCCCGACCTTTGGTGAAGCCTCGCCTTCTTCGGCCTCTGGTGGGTCCCTTCCGTCATCTGCAACCCCTGCTGAGACCTTTAGAGAGATCTCGCCTTCATCGCCGGCCTCCTGCTCAGTCTCCGGAGCGATCTCTTCTTCACTGCCGACCTCCAGGGAGGATTAGTTTCTGTCTCTGGCCCCCTGCCCGGCCTCCAGAGAGGTCTCGCCTTCGCCGCCGGCCCCCTGCCCGGCCTCCAGAGAGGTCTCGCCTTCGTCGCCGGCCTTCAGGGAGGATTCGCCACCTTTGCTGGTCCCCCGCTTGGCCTCCAGTGGGTTTCCAGCCTCTTTGTTGGCCTTCCTGATGTCCCCCTGAACAGTCCGGCCTCCAGGGACGTACTCCAGGACGGCCACCTAAACTCTGTGGACCCTCTGGTCCTCCCGCCCAGTGGGGTCGCCCTCCCAGGCGACCTTCTGAACGTTGTTGCCTTCCTGTTCTGCCCGGCCTGTTGGGTCGTCCTCCGGGACGGCCTCCTGAACTCTGTTCTCCCCCTGATTTGCCCGGCCTCATGTGTTATCCTCCAGGACGACCCCCTGAACCTTTGTTCCCCACTGGATGCCTCGGTCAGCCTCCTGAACTGCCTTGCCCTGCCTGTTTGACCTCCCCCCTGTACTCTGGTCCCCTTCTGTCTGCTCCTTGGACTGTGGGTTTTTTGTTTTTTCTGGCCCTCCTCCTGTCCTCCCTCCGCCCACCCTGGTTTGGCTCTTGCCCTCCTGGTCTGCTGTGTCGCCCTCCGGGTCTGCCCCCTGAACTTTTGTTCACCTCTGGCCGCCTTGGTCGGCCTCCTGAACTGCCTTGCCCTGCCGGTAGTTGGCCCTTTCAGACTTTTTGTTTTTCTGGGTTTTTTGGGTCCTCCAACCTGCCTCGCCCACACCAAATCGTGACACAGAGCATCCTTCAGTTTACAGATGTTTAAGTTGCAAAACAATACCAGCTTTGTTACGACTTGTCACAGCTTTCTGGACTGATGGCTGTATAAAAAGGCGAGCGGGTTCAACTATCACGGCATATGCCGGTATCAAACACCTGGGCAGAGTTAATCAGTTATACATTTGTATTTCACCGCATGAGAAAATTAATTTGTGGCTTGACAGTGGGTGAAAACCGTCATTTGCAAGACAGCTTTATACCTGACGAGAATTCTCGTAACAATCTCACAAGATCTCTTGTCGTGGGATCTTTTCACACCCCTGCTAAATTCTCAAATGCCCAATCCTAAATGCCTAAATGCCCATTCCTAATTGGCCAAATGTCCAATTGTAAATACCGAATGCGTTTTTAATGCATAATTTTAGTTTTAGAATTAGTTTTAATTCTGACCCAAAAATCCCTCTATACATTTCTGTGCATATGTCAATGAAGTAGTCAATGAAGAACCTAATTATGACAATTGATACACAATAAAAGTATTGTCATCAAAACATTGATGTTGTTCTTCAGCAGCAGCTTGCTTCTTAAAAAGAATATTGTTGATCTCACAGATGTCTACTTTCTGTCTGGACAGATGAAATGACTACAATAGCCACAAAAATCTCAGAGCAAAGACGAAAATATAAATCTAAAATTTTCTCATATCGTGCCACTCTCCTCTTTTGCTGGAAGCTGCATTCTGTGGAATTACTAGATTGAAAAAGTATTTTTTTACCTAGGTAAACATTTTACCTTCTTCAGCAGACAGTAGACATTGGTGGAATTACCAAAATACAACCCACTGCTGGATAATATGTGAAAAATAATGTTCTGATTTTACCCATTGGTTTTGCGTACGGAACGCTATGACCAAATGACAGAGTAATGTCAGGACACCACTGGGGCTAAACCTTCTGCTGCAACTCAGAAAAGAATTACTGTCTGGACCAGGGGCGTTGCTAGACATAAAGCTCTACTGAGGCACAGGCCCCCTCATCCCCCATGTATATTTTGATATCTTTTTGATTGACGTGTGTGAAATGTGTTAGAATGTGCCTTACCAGCTTCCATTGCTTAGTCCATTAATATTGGTACTGTCATTTTAGAAAGGGCTTTGACCGGAGCATAAGCACACACCTGAGAAAAAATCTGCTGTGGGTCCTGAATGGAAACCTCTTCTAGAAAAATGCACTACTGATTTAAATGGACCTCTGCACTCTGCACAGTCATCATAAAGTCTGATATGACTTATGCTGGCTGTACATCTCTGGCTGTGCTCGTACTGACTGAGGCTGCCTGTATTTTGCCTGGGTCTGGGTGACCTGCTAAAGACGTACTGTTGAAACTTACTTGAAACTTGACACTTACAGAAAGAAACTCCGGCCGCTACTGTCACTGATGCTTGGACTCGTCGGGAGAGAGCAGCGTTAACGTAACTTTTTGCAACTGCTCTTATAAATAGGATACAGAAACAGTAGTTCAGAAGTCTGGATTGACTTTCTTTCTTTTTTTATTTCAGCTGGTGTGGTAGGCCTAGGCCAAATGCTTTGTAAAAACCATACTCCTTGCTGCTGTTATGAATATGATATTAGTTAAAAAGTCGGGAGAGACTGCTTTCTTTGGGGGGTGAAGAGGGGTGGTAGTGAAAGCAGTGTTTCCCATTATTAGCCTATAATTTGGATAATTATCAACACTGAACTTTTATTTGCATGTTGCTGTCTGCACGAAGGTATCTCTTCAAGGAGGAACAGGCGGAATGATGTGACAAAAACTGTTTTAATGTACAAATAAAATGTGACTATAGTATTAAGGTAAAATTGAAAAAATCTGAAATGATCCTTTAAACGCCTTGTGATGCTACTTTAGAACATAATATTGTTTCTATCCTGAGCTCATCAGCCGTTTACATCCACTATCTGTAATTAAACACATTGTATGTCGAGGTGCTTTGCTGATGTTTGGTACTTACACTGGACATCTATGGATACAGATGTGGAGTTGATCTGGCCATACTCATTCTCAGACTTGCAGTGGTAGATCCCGCTGTCCTTAGAGCTGATAGAGGTGAAATGATAAACGCCTTCTGGTCCCTGAATCAGTGTCTGGTTCTCCTTGTACCAGGTGTATTTAGCTGCTGGGTTAGCATCACTGCTGCAGGTCAGAGTCACTGAACTGCCCTCCACTATCTCAGCAGAGGGACTCACTGACACAGAGGGAAGCTTTGGAGCATCTGGAGGACAAAAGAGAGACAACTTATCAATATTTGTTTACAGGATTGTTTTTAGGCATGGGGTGCCACGAGCTAAGAGGAGCAATATAATTATTTGATTCATTATTCTGATGTCCCAGTGGTTACTTATCCACCTGCTTTAGAAAACTAGCTAGCAACAACCACTATAGACCTGTACGTGAAACTTGGTCACAGGTGTCGTCTTCATGACCCATCTTTCTGAAGAAACTTGGTGGCCTCCCACATGAATCGCAAATTATTCATTTAAATTCAACTCAAAAGAGGATGAGAAGCCCTGATGATAGATGTTCCTGAGTCTTGCTCCAGCTGCTGTTTCTGTGTTCCTCCTGCTAATAATGTGTTCAGCCTCTCTTCTACGTTGACAACACTGCACAGGACTGAACTGCCCTCCATGATTTTACCAGAGGGACTCGCTGACACAGAGGAGTCTTTGGAGCATCTGGAGGAGATGTGTTAGGATTACTAGGTTAAGGGTGTGTCACTACAGTAGCGCATCTGGTATTTATTAAACTGGGAACAGCTGTGTGCAGCAGCATTTTAGGGGAGAAGGTGGTCTGATGAATGGATGTGTGACGGTTTGAATCCCAAAACTGCATAAAACTCCCAAAATCTCCTGAGCTGCTCAGTGAGTTACAGCAGACTGTTAATGTGCAGCAAGTAGGAGGATGTAGGTATGGTCAGTAAAATCTTCTGCAAAGACTGGACAGATTTAAGCTGTGTGTTATTTTTAAATAAGCTGTTTTACTCACATTTCACATTAATGATGTATTTAGTTGTCTTCCTCCCCAGCTGGTTCTCAGCTGCACAGTAATACTCTCCAGAGTCAGAGGACTGTG